CGTCCGTTAAAATCCAGCGTCTTTTCGTCCACCTTAATGGTGATGTTTATGCTTTCTACCAAATTAGACAAATCATAGCACAAAGAAATGGGGGTGTATTCTACCAGGTCAAATGGATTACCTTTGGGCAGAAACTTGGACATAAGAGAAGACTTTTCTCCATTGTTGTAACTATGGACTAAATAGCAATAGACTTCGTAAGAGGATGCGACTTTCCATTTCACAGGTATGGCTGTGTCGGTAATTGTCTTGCCCGAGGCACATAATAAAGATCCCAATGGGTCAAACTTTCCAAAAGTTACTGAATAGTTTGGCATATTATGTTTGAGGGTCATTTCGTGCGGGAATCCCGTGGTGAGAGTATAACCGCGCTTGGCGAGCTCCTTGGCAAGGATGATTGGCGTGTATTGTCCATCGGGTAGCATTTCACCTTGATATTTGCCAGGCGCCTTAAGTACGGTAACCGAGGCATTGACTAAATTATACCAAGAATTGTACAAAGAGCAACTAACCAGCCGAACCTTACAGGCTTTGATGGGGGGATTCAGATAAGTGGTAAAGTTATTCTTGTCGCTTTCCAAAAAGACGATCATATATATTAGACGCTCATGCTTCGCGTCACTAGAGGCAGCTTAGACGAAATACGCCAAAGCTACGCCTCCCGCCAGCCCTGCGACTCCTACAAAGACCAACTCGTTGTCTTTTTGTTTCTTAGAAGGCTGGTAGTAATTCCTGAACTGAGGCTTTCTCATTCTAAAGTCGGGGTGCGCCTGCGCATAGAGCTTAAAGGCGTAGTCTGTGTTTTCGAAGTTCTTATCCGCCTGCATCTTGTCTTGGTAGTTCTTGTCCAACCAATCCCTGTAAGCTTGCCTTTTTTCATTCCAAGCCGCCACGTCTCGCTGATATTTCTCCAGCGCTAAGTCGTGTCTCTTTCTTTCGGCGGCTAATTCTCCGCTTTTGTCGCCTCTGACTAATCTATCCAAATACTGACCACCATAATTAGCTCCAGTGAATGCTAAAGCTGCAATATCTCCGCCTGCGATTAAACTAGCCATTTATATATTGGGCAGGTACTTTTCCTTCCGTAGGTAATCCTTTACCATGATAGCCCCGCCCACGGCAGCGGTCATCTTAGCAAAATTAGCAAAGCTTTTGCTTGGGTCTTCAGTAAAGTCTTCTTTGAGCACTTTCTTACCTACCCAACCAATACCCGCAACGATGGAAGTAATGATAGCTGCCTCTTCAACAGTTTTCAATAAGGCGGTTGACATTATATTACAGAGCGAGAAGGTTATTACTCCATCACGGGTATTTTGCTTCGGGGCTCCTGCGTCACATGTACGGGTTCTACCTTTGGCTTCGTAGCCCGCCATTGTAAGTAGAGGCTGCCTGCTGCAATAGCAACTCCCAACGCGCCGATGACGTAGCCCGGATTAATAAGGGATTCGCCTTCGTCCTCCACCTTTACTTCTTTTTTGGCTTTGTTCTTCCTGTTCATTTCTGCGAGCTTCTTCCCCGCGGCAAGTCTGCCTGGAGATTTAGCCTTGGTGATCTTCTGCTCCTCTACTTGAGGGGTTTCCTCCGCCTTCGATTCAGCTGCACTCATTTATACTAAAGACTTGAAGGACTTGACAAGTAACTTAAGGTGACCTGAGCAAGTACTTAATTAGGTACTTGAGGCGACCTGGGTAATTCCTGAGGATGACTTAAGTAAGTACTTAAGAAGGACTTGAGGCGACTTGATCAGGTACCTCAGCAAGTGCCGCCTCGAATACCCTTTCGACTTCTCTATCTTTCTTGAAGTCCTTCCAAGACATCGTAAGTTCCTTCAAGTCGACATGCTGAGCTACGTGCAAAGCCGCAGAGGCGACTGCCATTAACTTACCGCACTTCAAAGACAACCACCCGCAGGTTATCTTAAGTTCTTGAGATATAACATAGTCGTCTCTTATGTCCTTCTGTAGTTGGTCCACGTCGTCAATGGGCAGCGCAAGTCCAAGGAGTTTGGTGGCAAGTCGGATAGCGGAGTCTGCTACGGCGTCCGTGGTCTTACTTGCAAGGGCGGCCTCGTACCTCTTATGGAACTTCTTAACTTCCTCTTCCGACAACTTATTTACCTGCTCATGGGTACGTTCCTTGCCTATCATGTCCTTGCACTTCCCAGATGACACCAGGATGTTAAGTTGTTCCTTAAGGTTCCTTTCATCTAACTGTGTGGGGACGTCATCTAAGAGCTGCTCAATCTCCATATACATTAGGAGTTAAAGATCGGAGATCTTTATGGAATACGGAAACCTCAAAGAGAAGATCTTCTTGGAATGTTGGTGCGTCTTTAAATGTCGCATGTATTCGTGCAGCTGTTCCTTGGATATCTCGCCGCCGTAGTCGCTTAAGATGGTTTCCAGGTCAGACTTACTTGGAGTATAAAATACGACAAGCGAACCTATGTTTTCCCTAAAGGGCTTAGAGACGCTGGTAAGCTGCTGCGAGAGCAACCAAACGCTAATATTGTCGTGCCTACCACTGAAAGCAAGCTTTACTAACTCGGAA